CCAGGCCTTAAACTGCCAGCTTTCATAGGAGAATGGTGTGGTAGATGGTGTCAAAGGCTTTACTAAAGTCCAAGTAGATGACATCTGCAGCCTTCTTTCCTTAGGAAACAGAACAAGTAACTTTCTGCTGTACTGTTTCTGAAGAACTATGCATAATTATGGTTTGTATTTACCCCAACAATAAATTGATTCAGTGAATTTTGTTGATGTGACTTTTGAGATTATTTCAGATTATCATTTGAGAGCAAGGCGATTGGTGTAAGGCATTCAGCAGTGGCAGTGTTGTCTGTGCTTTGGTGTTATAGGCCATGTGGGCTCCAGGCAGCAGAATTGGGGCCATTAGCATCTGCTCCCTTCTGATGCCAGACTGAAGACAGGAATTTTGTAATTCATTGTTACAGCAGTTATTTGAAGTCTTTTCTGATTAACAGTGAAGCCTTGCTACATGCATTTGACATAACAGACTCCAAATAAGGAAAGGTTGACATAGTAAAAGGAAAATTTTCCAGTACGCTTATCTTGAAATAGAGCATCTGGTGTGTTGATTTCACAGGAAGGGTGATAAAATATAACTAATAAGATTTGTATGGGAAGCAACAAACAGAAGCTTTTGTAATTTTTTATCTATCTAAATGATAATGGGCAATTAGTGTTATTTGTGCTGGTCTTAAACTGCTTTTCTTTATAGCATTTATTCCAAGAAAGAAAGCAAGAAAGAAACAAAAACCAACCAAACAAAACTGTTGTTGCATTTTAAATATCTGTTTAAATAAATCATCACTTGTTTCAGTGACCAGCAAAGTTATTAAATTCAAGACGAGTCACATATGCTTTGGAACTTGTACACAGACTGTGTACTTTCACTTATGTAAATGGATCAACAGAATACAGAAGACATTACTTTGCAAATGTTTTGCTAATCTTGTGATTCTCTGCTTAGAATTACCGTGGTGTTCTTCCTCTGCATCTTGAATACCTGGACATTTCTTCAGTGGCGCTTGAGCATAGGCACATTCACATGCCTGTCTTTGCTGGAAGCAGTATGCAAGTTTTGTGTAGCAAGCTGATGTTTGTTCGTTATGGAAATGTTTAGGTTTAGAAGCTACTGAATTATCTGTCTCTGTCTTCAAAATGGCTTTTATAGCCCTACCACCTAATAGCTAGCTTTGTAGTAGGCAGGTTTCCAAGACACTGTTTGAAAGTCACCTGACACAAACCAAAAGTTAATTATGTTTGAAGAATAGCTGTGTTTTGCCACATGTAAGCCAGAGTGCTGAGGCAAATGACATTATTTGCAAGAAGGTTCATAGATCCGGTCAGAGTTTTGGAGAAGCCTTTTTGTTTGGTTTCTACCACAACACAATGTTCTGTTATGCAAAATCTAGATAGGATTATTTTCTTCCTCATAGTGGGATTTATATAAAGATCGTGATTACTGCATGGTTCCAGAAGGGCATGGGAGTCCAGGTAAGCATATGCCAGAACAGAATGAAGACCCAGCTGAGAAAAGTATATCACTAGCATTACTAGACAGTATAGGAAAGCAAGCTTTCTGTTCTCAACAGGACTGGAAAAAGGGACAAACTTATTAAAGCTCAAATGCAGTCAACAGATCTTCCATTTCTGTCATCTCTACAAATATATCTGTTAACAGATTCCACCTTCCCTTTACGTGTTGTGTTTCTCAACATATGTAGGTGGCTAAACATTGATAAATGGTTTAATTTCAAGTGGAACTTTTGTTTCACTGTAATACCTGACATTATACTACTAATAATTAGAGGTTTTCAGACAGTATATGTTAAGTGCTTTCCTCTCATATGTGGTTTAAAATTATTGGAAATGTGTTTCAGAGGTCTTTCCATTAATAACTGTGAGGAGTCTGAACTGATGATTATTTTTTTTGTGAGTTATTTATGGCCATCCATTGCCTTTCTGTTCAGGTTAGAGGCCTTTGCATTTCCTCTTCAAGGAGGCAGGTACAACATACTGCCATGTAGCTGGAGGAATGAGAATGGTCTCAGTTTACTCCAAGAGGCACACTGGAGATGTTGTGGCCTCTTTTGGAAAAATAAAATTAGTTCTACATCTTTTCAGTACACATGCTGAGGTTTTGATTACTAACTTAAAGATATTACAAGAGGGGAAAGAAATACCTGCTTTCTGCTTCTCAGTTGGCTAATAACCTCTTTTCAGTATTGCTGTTACAATATGGAGTAAAGAGACTTCACTCAGAGCTTCTTGATAAAATTCCTTGGTATATATGTTCCCTGGAGCAGGTTCACTGCTGTGCCAGCAATACTGGCTAAAGGCCATTTTAGATCACTTAAAATATGCAACATCATCTTCCTTTTTTATACACGTAGATGTGAACAGTTTCTGGCTACAGTGAATGACTGTGGAATGAAAATATTGAGAAAGCAGGGGAGCAGGAAGGAGGACGCTGGGTTAAAAAGGGACTTGGTTGTGTGCTTCACCCTCAGACCTGCTTTGCAGGCAGCGCTTGCTTCTTACTTTCCACGTGTTTGACAGGCAGAGGTGTGCTGGGGCAAATGAAGACACTCAACTGCTTCAGCACTTAGTGAAGCAGAAATAAGAATGAATCTACTAAATTACCAGTGATTAAAGGGGATGGTGGTGGTGTGGTTTTGTTTGTTTAATAAGAATACAGTAGGAGACTTTGCCAAAAAGGAGTCAGATGGGCTCTTCATGTGCAGTATTGGGTAGAACAGCTCACTGGTGCAGATTACAAGTCTGATTTCATTGCTGATGCAGATTTAAGGTATGATCACAAATTTAGTTGTCTGTCTCTGTATTTATCATCTCCATTATCATAGTCTGTGCAGTCAGATTCTTTCCTTCGACTTCATTTTTTTACAGTACAGACTCTATGGGAAATGTCTTTCTAGACTCTCCTTTTGGTTAAAGGAGAGAAATAGCTGCTTCTGGAGTGTCATCTGTCTCGTTCCATTGTACCTGTACATTGGGCCTAAACAGGCCATATGAATTGGACTCAGGAAGTTCCTATTTCTCTCCATTGACTTAAAGAGAATGTGGAGAAACAATTCACATAAGGTTATTTGTGTTGTGAAAGTCATGTTAAGAGGATCACTTTGATCCTGAATGTCTACAATTACATAAATATAGTTCTGAAAGCATATAGTTTCTGCCACAAAACTTGGGCATTATTGTGAAGGCACAGGCTGATATAAGAGGTAACCTTGAGAATCCCTTGAGAAAATTGCATTGACTGTCACCTGTGTGGTTAAAAAAAGTGCGCACACAAGCATACATATCTATATATAAAAATATATATTAATTTTTACTTACTAAAATTGTAATTAAAAAAAAGAAGATGAGTCATTGCCAGAATGTG